CGACTCACGGCAGCCCAGCTCCAGGTTGAGCTGTTGTTCAGCATCTTAGCTGTGGAGGACAGTGTCACTGGCCCTCATATGTGGGATCCGAACCGGAGCCGTCTGGCGTCCCAAGCCAGCTCTTAACCAATGTGCCACTCGGCTGGCCGTCGACTTGCTCATTTTAAAAGGAATCTAGTATATTTTGTAGGCAGCTCATCCAAGAAAACAAGAGTGTAAGTCCTGAGTCTGCCGGACTAATTTTACAGGGGTTACTCTCCTGGGTCCCTAAGCCTAGTGATGTCACTGAGGGTTTAGAACTGGTGGGGGATCTGCAAAGTCCTCTAACTTGTAAAGTAATTCAGAAATGGAAAAGGAAATCGCTCTGTGAGGTCAGCAAAAGTTCACATGACCTTGGGCACTGTTGGTCTGAATAGGCTTAACTAAGATAGATGTGTTTTACAGGGGTTACTCTCCTGGGTCCCTAAGCCTAGTGATGTCACTGAGGGTTTAGAATTGGTGGGGGATCTGCAGTCCTCTAACTTGTAAAGTAATTCAGAAATGGAAAATGAAATCGTTCTGTGAGGTCAGCAAAAGTTCACATGACCTTGGGCACTGTTGGTCTTAATAGGCTTAACTAAGATTGATGTGTTTGTTGTGGAATTCATATGCCCAACATAACTAATCTGCAAAATAAATGAACTCAATTTCCGTAATATCAACTTCCTGCAGGCAGGGACCATCTGTTTTCCTCACAGTAGGCTTTTAGTGTATTGTTTGTGGAGTAAATGAAAGAAATTCTGACCCTCATTCTTTCATCCCCTCCAAAAGGACCACTTTCCTAACTTCAGTTATCTTTCTGATAAATTCTCTTATTAGACTTCCCATCCTCAAAATGGATAGTTTTTTCAGTTCTATTATCAAAAATGTTCCCATAATTCTAAAAAAAGTATGTATGCATGAAATGTTAGTATTTCTTGATTTTTTTTTAAAGTTATGATATAAGGGAACCATAGACATATTTTATTTCTTAAAGATTTTATTGGGGAATTGGGGGAGGGGAACAGTGTTGGGGAATTGGGGAAGGGGACCAGCCAAGTTGTTGTTCTTCAGTTTTCATTGTGGAGGGTGCCAGTCGCCATCTGGCTGCCCATTGGCAGCTCGTGGCCTCTAAGCTCAAGGTGCCAAGTTCAGTCTTAGTTGCAGGTGGGCACAGCCCACCACTGAACAGGCAATCTTGTTACACCAGCTGAGCCATCCTTCCACCTGCTGGCAGCTCAGTGACAGCTCAGGTCGGGTGCAGCATCACTGGCCCATGTGGGAATCAAACCATGGGCCCTGTTGCTCAGAGCCCGCGCTCTTAAGCCAACTCTTAACCAATTGAGCCACTCAGCCGGCCCCATATTTTATTTTTTTAAAGAGGTTATGGAGAAAGCCCTATGAACAAAAGAATCTTTTCTAACTTAAGCTACATACCTTTACTTGTATTTTGTTCTGTTTTCCTCAATAAATACCTGGCATTTATTGAATAGTCATATTGCAATAGTTACATTGCATATGGTAATAATTACATTGCATATGACTATCACAAGTTAATAGGTTTTTTATTTTTTTTTTATTATTTATTTATTTATTTATTTATTTTTTTAGCTGAGCCATCCCGCCACCTGTTGGCAGCTCACTGCTGCTCAGCTCGGGCTGACTCGAACCGCTGTTGCTCAGAGCTCAAACTCTTGAGCGAGCTCTTAACCAACTGAGCCACTCAGCTGGCCCAATAGGTTTTTTAAACAGCTTTATTGAGATATAACTCCTTGATGTGTATTCCTTGATAGGAAAAGCAGGAAAAAAGGGGACTGGAGAAATCTGAGGATGTTTGTTGGTTTGGCTAAGAAGAAGATAGCATGAAATGGAGTGGGAAATGAAAATTGGACTCAAAATGCTTATTCAGGGTCTAAACTGGCTCTGTCATTTTACTTTTTCGGAAGGATAGGTCTCCTAGTCTAGTTGTTAAAATAAATTGATTGCTACTGGCTTTGACCTAAGTTCAGTGTGGATTAGGATGCAGATTTGTATGTGTGTGGTCTGTAGATCATCATTACTCATGAAAGAATTTTAGGAAGTTTTGAAGGACTGTGATCAAGTGTGTTACATCACTGTTTTTCTGATTGATTCATGGGGAAATCTCTGTTTTTCCTTAATTGTTCCTTGAGAGTGATATATTAATCTGCTTCTCCACAACCAGAAAATATTACATTTCCCAAACTGAAGGATGAATTTAAACGTTAACATTTCTTTTTGTTGCTGTCTCTTTTCACCAGCTTGGATTCTGCCTTTTGTTTTCCTTTGGGATTTATGAGAATAGTTTTTGTACATTTTGATGAAGCTACAGAACCATTATTATTACTCAGCATTAATTAGTTGTGCCTCCTAATCACACTGGTAGTAGTCATTTTTAAAAGTCTTTTTCAACTTGGGATGGCAGGATTACATTTAATAGGTACTTAATTTCTATATAATTGGCATGCCACAATAACTTAATAGTATTTGCAGGTTCCTTAATGGCAGGGTCAGGTGTTTCCTTTATATCCTATGATGCCAGCCATGCTGTGTGTGCTTGAAAATAGCAAGGTGATTGGATTGCATGTATTATATTTGTCATTAAAGATTCCAAGGGCCAAATTTCACAAATAAACCAGATAAGTAGTCCCTGAGAGCTTGCTAGGAAAGAGTGTCATCCCAGGGAGTCAAGTATATTTGACTATTGAAGTGCCATCTGCTTGTTTAGAATTGCTGAGGCTGCTTTGTTCGTTGGTTTGTTTTTCTTTTGGAGACATGAGCGAGAAAGGTCTCCTGATTTCTCTTAGTGTTTGTGTCAGACATTCGTGTGTCATCTGCAGTCGGCCTCGGTGAGTCCTCATTACTCATCTTGCTGTATTTTTTCCCTTCTAGGTGAGGAAAATAGCAGCTGAGTACTATGACAACCTTCCCCACTACAATTCCTGGATAAAAGTACTGTATGATTTTGTGATGGATGATACAATCAGTCCCTACTCGAGAATGAAGAGGCATCAAAAAGGCAAGGTAGAACTGGAGTGAATCAAGGTCAGCAGAGCCCAAGGAATTCCTCTGTGAAACCCACGGTAGCTGAGAGGGTGAAAGTTTTGCGTTATTCAACTAAGACTAGTGATGTTCGAAGCCACCCTTACACAATTTGGAAGTATGCTCCCCTGGCATCCAGAAGCTAACCTGGCTTCAGCCTGTCCATGCAGCGTTCAGCTTTACTCACAGGAAATGCGTTTGTTGTATTTGCATTGCTGAGGATGTTTTCACTGACGTCTGACATTTTGTAAGCATATCATAAAAAAAGCTTTTAAAAAGCTATTTCTTGTATATTATTTTCACTATGAAGTTTTACTTTATTAAAATGGCTAATAACCTGAGCAGTTAATCACAATAAATAGTATTTATCACATTTTTGTATTTGCCTGTCTTTATATAATATGCTAACCAGGGTGCTGGGGTGAGCTTACTTTAAAATTTCACAGAAAGGAGAAAAAAAAAAAAACAAAAAAAACAGAAAAGGAGAAAAAACAGACAGGAAAAAAAAAGGCCTGGAAATATCTTTCACGGCAAGCTGAATGACACGCTTTTAATTTTGACTGTTGTACCTGGGACCTAAATTAGACACTGTTGAACCCTGCACAGCCTTATTTATAAATAAAGTACCTATTGATCTGAATTGTGTCCAACATTCCACTTTTTCAGATGCACTGACTCTCGTATTAGAAGCAGCTCAACTGACGGAGTTTCATGTCATTCCACTGCAGTGGAAACTGGCTGTGGTCTGATGGTAGATAGTTGGTCTCAAGTAGCCAGTATCAGTTAGGCTGGCAGTCCTGGTGACTTGAAGTGTGTCACCTTGGTAAATTTTGTGTAATATGGTGAACTATTTTCAAAATAAAACATGGTATCAAAAAATCAAGTCTACAGTTTGTAGACAGCCCTCAGGCGTCCTCAATCTGCTGTTATAAAATCCCTCTTGTTAGAATTCCCAGCTATATTGGGGTTCCCCTGCTGAGGGGGAAGAGCAGAGTCCTACCCTGGGAAGGACTGGCAGGCCTTTGCAGCCCTGACCTCCCCAAAGGACTGTGCTGTCCCTTCCTGAACCTCTCACCTGGGAAAATTCCTAGTATCTTTGAACTACTGCTTAAAAACTATTGCTTTAAAGTTTAGAGTTAATAGAACCAACTTCACAATTCAGATACATACCGGGTTAGACAGTCAAAAGGCATCTGTGAAACATTCCCGTGGCTTTGATGCTAAATGTTGAATAGCTTGTGTGCCTCACCAAGCCCTCCATGGTCCTTGCCTGTAGCACTCTAGCCAGTGGCTACAACTGCTAGGGAAATGCTGAAACTTGTACATCTCAGCTCAGCCCTCTCTGAATGCCATGACCTGCTGGACGCCTACGGTTAAGTATGTTATCATCCATCCCAAACCTGCTGTTTCCTCACGTTACCTCTTCATGCCTGGGTGGAGGGCCCAGCCTCCCAGCAGATCTCCTAAGCCGTCTAGGTCCCGTTTGCCAACTCAGTCCATTCTTGCCGCCACTGGCAGTGACTTTTCCAAGGAGACCCGGGAATCAAGGCAGTAGGAAGCCTGGGCCCAGAGCCTTTCAAGCCCAAGGACAGGTCCCGAGAAGTCATTCGGCAGCTCTACGTGCGGTCTCCCTCTGTCCACATTTCCCTCTTCCCATCTGGCTCGTGACCTCCTTGGAGGTTCACACCGGCCTTCTGTGGCCCATCCCCACTCCCCAGAAGGTCAAGTGCCACCTTTTGGGACTCCCAGACCAGTGATGACCTCATCCGTGGTCCCACGTATTATTTAGAAATACACGCAGTTGATTTCCCCCTGAGACCGTAACTGGCAGAAAGATCTTTTCTTTCTCCATTCTCCTTACCTGGCAGGGTCAGTGCTTGGCTTGAAGTGAGTGCTTAATGGAGAGAGACCAACAGAGAGAGTCCTTGAACTTGAGAAGCTTTTCATCGAAAATAGAAACAAAGTAAAAGACGGAGGGTGTTTGGATAACCTTGAAGTGTCTGGCGCACTGAACACAGTGCACATGAGTCCTTACTACTCACTGAGCCCGGTACCAAGTGTTTCACATGCATTATCTTACTTAATTCTCACCACTTCAGTGATATAGAGTACTATTAATATCTTCACTTTGTAGCTGAGAAGACGGAGGCTTAGATGAAGGAACTGGCCCAAGGTCACCCTCAGTAAGTGGCAGTCAGGATCTGAAATTCAGACTATGTGACTCCACATAACAGCGCTCCACATGGCTTGTCTAATGAGCCTCCTGCTGGAACAGGAAAGGAAAAGGAAAATCAGTAAACAAAAGCCAACATATTCCTATGACCAAACATGTGTTCCTTCTACTCTCTTGTGGACCACGTCCTATGTGCCAGCAGGTCTGACTAGATCTCTGGGTGTTTTTTTTTTACTTCTAACCATCTAAAATTCATTAAAAAGAAAAAAAAAGTTCAGCTTTTTATTGAACAGGTGAGAAGCTGAGTCAAAAAGACCAAAGCCCGTGTCATAATCAGACTCCTCTTTGGTTCCACTTTCTCCCCAGCTCGGGCAGCACTGGTGGAGGGGGCGGGACCCCCTGCTGGGGCAAGGCCACCGGGCCCCTCATTGCACATGAGGCTATGTTGACATTGTGCTGCGTTAATGAGGGCATTGATCTTACAGCATGGTGTGACTCACCTCACCGCTATGCAGGATGAGGGCTGAGGAGGTGCAGGTGGGCTTGGAGACAGAAAACTGCCAGGTGTGGTAACCACCAGATGAAAGGGTGTCACCCTGGTGTGGCCTTAGCTTCCTCAGAAGGACGGAGCACCTTAGCAGGAGTAGAGGCAAGGGCCAAATCTGAAATTCTAATATGAAACATTCAGGTTTAAATCGATAGCCAAATTGCATTTATTCATTCGTTCTACAGGCACTTTGCCAGGCACTGCACTAGGCAGTGGGGGCATAGACAAAACATGGTCCGGAGCTCTAGAAACTTTCCAGAGATTAGCCTGAGGGTGCACACTAGAAGCCAAGAGCCAGGCCCCGAGCCCGGGCCCGTCACAGCCTGTCCTTCGGTTCCACCTGCCCAGCTGACTAAAGACTTTGGACAAGCTAATGTACTGTTTCTCGTCTTGGGAAAGTCTTCAAGAGGCCCCTGTCATCTGAAATGACGTTAGGATATAGTCATTTGGAATGATGTAAGGATGCCCTAAGGCTGGGAAGGCCCTGAAAAAAATTCCCTCAGAAACCCTAGAACACTAAACCCCTAAGACTCTCTCGGAAGACCTGATTCTGACAGGAGGAGGATGAGTGTGGCGCCTGGCAAGGGAGACTAACAGGGGTGTGGTGACACCCACAGAGTCTCCTGAAGGGGAAAAGGAGCAGGACTTGACAACAGCGGCTTATGCAGGTCAGATCATGCTGCAGGTACTTTCTGGTTGGAAAACGAATGACAAGGTAGAAGAAAAGGAAGAATGGGGAGCATCATCTGAAAAAGGACAGCTTGGATTCCTGCCCGGTAGAATCTGAATCGGCGGGTGGCTAATGGAGCCAATAATTGGACCCGACAGAGGGGAGTCTTTCAGATGCTTGCAAGTCAATACATCACTGCCGTTCAGAAGATGGCTGCTGTCATGGGCACGGGGGAATCAGCACACAAGACGGAAGCAAGGGGTTGAGGATAGCGTCCTGTGGGGTTCTCTGTAACTTGGCCGCACGGGGGAGTATGGACCGGCAGTACCCCTTCTTAGATCTGGGGCACACACCAGAATTTTCTCCTCAAGGCAGAAAACCCAAAGAGAAACAAGTAGCTTTATTAAAGAGTTAAGAGTGGGTTACGTGTTACTAGGCACTCATCCCTGTAATCCTCGGGAAAAGAATAGAACAGAAGCTTTGTGGGAGAGGCCTGGAGGTACTGAGCTGCCCTTCATGTTGGGTTCTACTCCTTGGAGACCAGCAGTGGGCTAATCCAAGGAAGGCCTTTATCACCGCCCTCCCTTGTCAGGCTATTATCAAAGGCTGCTGGAATAGACTCTCAGGAAGGGTCTAGAAAGACCCACAGTAACCTTTCACTTGACAAAAAGGGAAAGGGACAATCATTTGTCCAGTTCATGGTTTAAGCCTCAAATTTCCTTCCTATTTAGTAGCTGAGATTTTTTTGGGGGGTGGGGAGGCACAAGTGGGTGTTCTCATTCCTTCCCTACGCACACCAGCTTTCTCCCATCTTAGCCATAACCACACATCTAGAGACCTGCTTTCCCCTCCAGGCTGGGTCCAAAACATGCTGGAAAGTGGGTTCTTTCCTGGTGTTGTCTTTAATAAAAGCACTTTCTTGTCACCTTTCTGTTGTTTGAGCAGATGTCTGCTTCAGTGCTGACAATAAAAAAGGTGCTATTCCACCCAGCCATGCTTCAAAGCTAGGCCACACAAGCTGTGCTGTGAACGCTGCCTCCAGGTTGGCCTCTTCCTCACCACACGCATCCATCTCCGCCCCGCAGCGCGGGGACCACGGTACAGCGCCCTGTGCAGCTTTCTTTGCTTTCCAAAGGGACTCGACTCCAGGCCAAACCAGAGGCTGCCTCCCGGGTCAGGAACCTGAGAAAAGCCCACCTCATCGCCATGCTTTCTTCAGAGACATCATCATAAATCATTCTGGTAGCTCACTCCACTGCACCCCACTTTGAGGACTCTGAAGAGCTGAAAAGAAACACCACAGATGCTAGTTCAAACCCTGCCTGCCATCCCTCAATTTTCTTCACCTCCTGCTACTTCTCAAAAACAAGCTGATAAATAAAAGCAAGAGAATTCACCCCAAATCAAGTCTGAATGACAAATTCAACAGATTCCTAAAGGTTTCTTGCCCTTAAGAGCACCTGATTCCTTTGGGGGTCAGGCCCCTGCCCCCAGGGCCATCAGACAAGCCCTTCCCAGATCTGAAGCAGTTTGACTGGAGTTAGTTGTTTCCACCAAGGGGAGGGGCTGGAGCAGAGGAAAAGACGAAAGTAAAACTTCAAAAACCTTGTTAGTCCTTTGGGAACTGAATTGGTTATTAGACATCTATAGTAGCTTCCTAATTCTCCCCATTTATTGTCTGATTTCTCCAGCTGTGTGTGAGATGCCACCCCTGAGCTCTTGGGTGGGAGCCCTCTGCGGGCCATGTGGACACTACCCAGGTGGGCTCAGGCGGCCAGCCTTCCTCTGATCCCTTGGTTGACTCCTTTCTTACAGGATCAGAGGCAAATGTGACACGTATGACGAAGAGGACTGTCCTATTTCAATGGAGCATGATTATCTCCTTTGAAATTGCACAATGTAAAGTAGGTAATTGAAAGGAGGAGGACTGAGAATCAAAGTTAGGTAACTTGCCTCAGGTCAGCCGGCCTGATCTCTGAGGAG